CGATGGGCGAATTTGACTCTTGCGCAGTACTTGGCAAAATACCATGAACTATGTCCCAAAATTGTAACCACTCAAAAGGATCCCGCAGAAATTGGGACCAGCACAAGTACTGGTAATACTAGTAGTACTAGTAGTACTAGTAGTACTAGTAGTACTAGTAGTACTAGTACTAGTAGTACTACTAGTACTACTAGTACTACTAATACTAGTAGTACTAGTAGTACTAGTAGTACTAGTACTAGTAGTACTAGTACTACTAGTAGTACTAGTAGTACTAGTAGTACTAGTAGTACTAGTAGTACTAGTAGTACTAGTAGTACTAGGAGTACTAGTAGTACTAGTAGTACTAGTAGTACTACCAGTATTAGTAGTATTAGTAGTACTAGTGGTACTAGTAGTACTAGTAGCACTAATAGTACTAGCACTACTAGTAGTAGGAGTAGTACTAGTAATACTAGCAGTACTAGCAGTACTAGTAGTAGCAGTAGTAGTCGTAGTAGTAGTAGTAGTAGTAGTAGTAGTACCAATGCTGGGACTCATTGCAGTAGTAGTCGTCGTCGTAGTAGTAATAATACTAGCGGTACTAGTAATACTGGTGGTACTAGTACTGCTAGCAGTACTAGTAGTACTAATAGTACTAGTGGTACTATTTGTACCAGTGGTACCGGTAGTAATGGTAGTACTGGTAGTACTAGTAGTACTAGTGGTACTAGTGGTACGAGTAGTACTAGCACCACTGAGTAGTACTAGAAATGCTAGCAGTACTAGCAGTACTAGTAGTAGTAGTAGTAGTAGTAGCAGCAGCAGCAGCAGTAGTAGTAGTAGTTGTCGTAGTAGTCGTAGTAGTAGTGTTAGTAGTAGTAGTAGTAGTAGTAGTAGTAGTAGTAGTAGTACTAGTAGTAGTAGTAGTAGTAGGAGTAATAGGTTCCTGCCTTGTTCCTTTCACTATCTTGTTTTGCAATTTAGCGTTTCACTTGACCTGCATTTTCTGAGACTACCATTCTTTCATGCTCGGTCGTTCCTTCTTTTTAATCAGCTACTTCGTTATGTTTGCTTATGTCTTTGTGTCTTTCCTTGCCTTTGTATTTCTTGTCTTGGTTCGCCGGTTGGGTCTTTCTTTACCTCGTTTGGTTGTGCTTCGCTTTTTCTCCTTGTTGGCGTTCTTTTCTGTATGGCCTTCCTCCTAGTTGATGTTTTGCTCCTGCCAGATTTCTTGGGATTCTGCTTCAATATTTCTGCTGATGCCCGTGCCCTCTGCTCCCTTAACACCCGATCCGAGGCCTGAAAACCCTCCATAAACCTCTCGCCGCCTTATCTGCCTTGAGCAGACCTGCCTGCACGGAGGCCCACATGATGATACTGCGAAATTTCAGGACTGCCATGTCCGGATAAGAGATGTCCGCAATGTGCGACCGGATCCTGGGCTTCGGCTGCTCTACAATGTACTCTACAACTTGCTTTTCCGGGCTTGGCTTCGGCCTCCGACCTCCTGTTTTCACGACGCATCATCCCGGGCCCAGGCGCATGGGTGTGCTGCCGCTGAAGAATCCTGAGATGGCCCTTCCAGCCATCATGGTCCACACACCAGCCTCCGTGAGTCCGGGACAAACTGCGAAGCGTGACCGAGAGCAAGCGCATTACCAGGAGGCTCCAGTGCAGCTAGAACAGAAAACTGTGTCTTTATTCAATCTTGTTCAGGGTGGTTACACTGATTTGGGGTCTGGGATGCTGTCAGCTGCTGAAGATAGAATGAATCAGCCATACCGTGCGAAAGTCTGATTCTAGCCCCACTCGGGCACCGTGTACACTCCTAACACGGCCTTGGCACCCAGGGGCATGAAGTGATGCGCACTGCCCTGAACTGCATAGGAAATCGCCGTGCCCAGGACAGAGAGAATCATGGCGATTCGTATGCCTTTTGTGTCAGCTAACCAGGGCATCCAAGCCAATGAAACGATCCCAAAGACATAGAACACCTTGGTTGACTGCGGTAGGCCTTCACAGCAGAGCAAAGGCATGGTCCTAGACACATTCTGCGGCTGATCCTGCATAGCGCTACTGTTGGCAGAAGCCACCAAGGAACGGTCGAGAAAGCACCAATCTCGGCGGTACTTGCGTTGATCTGCTGACCATATGGCACCATCACGGGGGCTGTGAAAAACACCTCGGTTTCTAAAACATTGCACGCAGCGTAAGATTTGCACTTCCGCTGCACATGTCACACATGTCCTGAGGCTGCCAGGCCACTCCCATGGTGTCCGTCAGGCTCACCAGAACGCAACAGATGAACGACACTTGCGCCGGACCAAGCAACATTTCTCTTGTCTGCTCTTGGGCAAGGGAGCCGGGAACCACGAGCCGGGGAGGGATGCAACGCCTCCGAGTTTGAGCCAAACGTATCCCAAGGAACGGAAAACATCACCGATGGCTTCGTCGAAGCGAATCAACTGTAGAAACCAGGACCTACATCGTCTTCGCAAGCCCTCCGACAGGTCCGGACTTCTGTTCTTCCGGTGTTCCTGAAAAGCAGTCCCTGCTAAAGGTCTTGTGCACGATGGAACCGTCTATTGGCAGGCTCGAACGGCTTTCTCAAGATTTTTGCGCGCTTGGAGCTCGGTGCCGCTAAGCTGCACAGCGAAAGCGATGAAACCATGTGAAACTGAAACGGAAAGCTATCAAGCCATCCCTGGTTGTGACATGCCACCTCTGATGGTACTGCCTGTATCTGAGGCCGGCAGTCAACTCACTTTCCCAGAAGATGTGACCTTCGCTGAGCGTATCAGAAGCATTTGTAGCACAATGGTTCGCTTCTTGCAGAAGCACTCACAGAACTCACAAGCCCAAATGCAGTTGAACGAACTCGACACGAACGGACAAAAGCAGCCGGGCAACGCTCTCCACCTTTGGAAAACTCGCCTAAGCCTCCTCTCATCTTTATCTAGTAAAAAGAAAAAGTTCTGTCTCTCCGTGTTCTCAAGACAGTGAGGACCCCTGAGGCGTTTAAAACCATGCGCAGAAATACAAAAGCTCCTTCAGTTGATACTGAAATACAACAGTTGTATACTGAAAACGTACAATATGAAAGCTCCTTGATCTATGAGCGAAGTACCATAGATTTAGAAAGGATTTTTTGAATACAGAATCAAAAGCCTCGACTAGCTGCAAAACTCAGCCACATCTATACAAAAAGAACAACTACTAAACACAAGTACGAATACCGCTACTGGTACTGCTGCAATTACAA